TTCCTCTTCTTCTCATACTTTCTGCTTGGTGTCGGTCGGCACGGCTCCCTGACTGCCTTTGAGTATCAGCTCTCATTCAGCAGCGTCCATGGAGGTTGCCATCCCTGAACCTCGTTTACAAACCCCCTGTCCTCCCTTTCTGACTTTTCCCTGCTCTGTGCCCTCCGTGGTGGACACCAACATCTGACATCACATGCAAATCTGTTTGTCTAGCTCTCCCCTAGATGTGAGCTCCACAAGGGCAGGCACCTACCCTGTTCTATCTTGCACCTCTAGTGTCTAGATAGGCCTTCAAATGCCTGGGAGAGGAATCAGTGAAGAGTTCTAAGGCCCTTCCACATCCTGGTTATTTGTCCATGGCTAAGATTGGTCGGGAGGCCCAAGGTTTAGTGAGCCTTGTTAAGATGTCCCCTACATAACACATTGACATACATTTTGATTCCATCATCAGTTGTCTAAATGGATTGCTTGGGGGATGCTTAATTTAGAAACTGTGCAGCCATTGAGGTTTTACTCCACCACCACTCCCTTTACCAATTTCAGTTCAATGACATTTCCTGTGGCTATCCCTCCCTCCTTCTTTGTCCTTTCTATTCAAGCTCTATGGATCCCTGGTGATGTAGTGGTTAGGCATTGGGATGTGATCCGCATGGTCGGCAGTTCAAAATCCCCAGCAGCTCTGAGGGAGAAAGACTGGGCTTTCTACTCCCCTAAACAGTTACAGTCTTGGAAACTCACAAGGGGATGGTATGAGTTAGCATTGACTCCAGGGCAGCATGAGTGAGACACAAGCTCCATCAGAGCTTTCTGTAACCTCCTAGACCCTTGACCTCCCCAGAAGACCCCATCTGGACTCTGTTCTTCCACTCCCCCACCCCAGGGAATTGTCTTCTCTTACCCGTGGGAAGTGGCGCCTGAGAGGTGGTGTCTTCTTTGCTGGGAGAGACTGAGGGGGGGCTCCATATGTCCCTGCTGCCTGCTCTCTATGGGAAAGAACTCCAGCCCCAGAACTGCTCACAAAGCTTGTGCCCCTGAGGTGTCAGCTCTGCTGTCCTTCCTTCCTCAGAGCACCAAGCCCTGTCCTGGGGTGGGAACTTCCCCAGGTCATGTGGTCTGGGGGCAGGGTGCCCCCTAGGACGCCTTTCTTCTCTCTTCGTTTTTCATTGCTGTCCCTGAATTTCCTACTTTCCTTTTCCTTTTTGTCCATGTTTGGGTACCTGGGAAATGCTACTCACTCTACCTCCTCTGGCTCTATCCTCTTCCTACTCTAAGCTACTCTTTGGAGTGAAGCTTGGGGCCCTCAGCCTCCAGATCTACATTCTCTTTCAACCTGTGACAAGTCGTTTCTGATGTCAACTTGGGTGGGCCAAGATTCTCCCAGGATCTGATCAAACATAGTGAGCCACTCCATGATGGGCTCTTCTGTGAAGCAGCACGCAGTTGTGGGGCAAACAGACCACCTTTAATTCAGGGTGTGGCCTCCTCATAGTGTAAGTTGACAGAGTGTTGAAGCTAACTGACCTCTTCGGCTGGATTTGGACCCTACATCTGCTTCATCTATTGCCTGATGATCCCCAGGAGACATCTGAAGACTGCCAACCTTGAACTCATCCAGCTGATTGGATTCATTCAGCTCAGCATTCACCAGTCCGTGAATGCCTTCTGCTTTTAGCCCCTGCAGTTACAAGGGTCAGGAGAAGCCTTCAACTCACATCTGACTCAAATTGGACTGGACTTAACTGATTCTATAGCTGGGTGAGTCACTTCTGGATATAAATCTTCTTCTATACACACACGCACACACACACACACACACACACACACACACACACACACACACACACACACACACCACTAGTTTGGCTTCTCTAGAGAACCCAGCCTAATACATTTTGCTTTACTCTTCAGCCTAAGAGGCCAGAGGTTTTATCAGAACATCTTTCCCAGATAAGTTCATCCAGCTGTACATTAGAATCACCTGTGAGACTTTATAGAGTAGCCAGATGTCCAGGTGATGCCTTAGAAATGCTTCCTCTTCAGCTGCACAGGTAATGTTCATGATGCCCAGCCAGGCTGAGAACTTGTCTTCTGCAGGGTAGGGTGGCTTCTCATCCTCTCCTGTGCACAAAGGTGGCCATGCTGCTAAATCTGATTCCGACTCTGTGTGTGAGTCGGACCTGAGAGTGCATGTAACAGGCTATTATATTAGGTGATGCCAATCATACCAGCCTATGAACCACACTTGGAATAACAAGGCTATCTGGGACTCCCGTGTATGAGAGTGCAACTCACATCAGAGTTGGTTTCTGCTCTATCCTGGTCTTGGGTCTGTCAATAACACCAGAGAAGGAGTTCTTTGGGTCCCTTAATCCACGGATGATTTCCCTCTGTGACACAGAAACCCAGCAGGGCACCCAGGTCTGTCCAAAGTTTTCAACTGCTCTAGGATAGTTGGATTTACTTCCTGCCACAAGGTCACATAGAGGCTGAAATGATAAAGCTGAGCGAGGATGGGTAAGCGGAATCGGCCTTCTATCTCTGGGGTCACCACCTTGGCCTTTGCTTCTAGGGACAGAGATATGGAATCCTGGTGTCCAGGAAACAGTTATGGTTCCTAGGGCATGAAGAGGGAGGCTTGCTGCATGTCCCAAAGAGAGAGGACTTGCAGTGGGAGAAAAATGTTTCAGAGAGATCATGTTGTCGTAAGTCTGCTCGGTTAAGTGGTGGCTCAGAACCTGTCTGTGTTTACCTGCCTATCCTGGGCAACCTCTGTTCTCTTCCTAGTTGAATTTTCGGTGCCCACCCTATGGTTCCCTATGGGTAGGGCCATGTAGAAAGTAGGGAGCTACACAGGAGCCCTCTATATCACAGAGCCCCATAAAGGAGGGTCAAGACAGAGCTGACATTTAACAGGGACACAGAAAGGTCTATTGAAGCAAAGGATGGGAATCAGATCCTACATCTCCCATCTTCTTAACCCAAAACCAGGTTCTTGTCCTACGGAAATAATACCCGTTTCCTGCATTATGTCCTCCTCCAGAGGGCTCAAATTCAACACTTGACATTGCACCAGGATGCTGACCAGGCTCCAATGGGTGTCACTTGGTCCGTACCTGGTACAAAGATGGGCTCTGACCTCTAGGCTGCTTGGAGAGCCTTGGTTCCTGATCGCTGTGGGTCCCCAGGCTGTCCTGACACCCTGAAGTACAGGGTGAGCCCAGGGAGGTGATGAGAGCTGTCCAGATGGTTTCTGGTTTGTGTCTAGAGAGCTGTCCTTCAAGGTAAATGTGCTGCCTGTGGGGCAATTCCCAGTGTTCAGCCTTTAAAGAAAGGCTTGGGTAGATGTCTTGTATGCTGTGTGAGCAATTTTAGCCTGGGAGACTAGTTCCCCAATGTCCCAAGTCTCTTTCCATCACAGCTCTGGGGTATCATGTTAGTTTCACCTGTGTCCCTGTTTGAGGAACTGTGGTTTAGTGGGTGACGTGCTTGGGTTAATGACTGCAAGGTCGGCAGTTTGAAACCACCAGCTGCTCCTTGAGAAAAAGATGAGGCTTTCTACTCCTGTCAAGAGTTACAGTCTTAGAAGTCCACAGAGGCACTTCTACCCTGTCTTATTGGGCTGCTATAAGCTGGAATGGACTGAATGGCAGTGAGTTTTGAGTGAATGTCCCTATTTGTTGTAAACTTGAGTCCTACCCACAGAGTCCAAGCACTGAAACAGCTAGGGGTTGAGGGGTGAGGGGAGAACCTGCCCAAACAGTGCTAGACGGTCACTGTCACATACTTCTTGCAGCTCTCTGTGACTGAGGGAAGAGACTATAGAAACAGCACTATAGGAACTCAGCCACATAATCCCCTCTTGCTCTCTATGGTTAGTTAAGAAGAAGGTCTGCTCAACTGTGTTAGAGTGGACCCAGCCACTGTTTGCTTTTTGTTTTGTTTTTCTTATGATTCTTTTCTTGCACCACTTCTCAGAGTCAACCCCTGAAGGACTCAGTCACTCGCCCACCTCTAGCACTTAAACCAGCAGTATGATGGAGACAGCTGATATTGTTGGTCCACACGATGAGAGAAGAAAGGCTGTCACAAACAAGTGACCAATACACCAAGCCAAAAGACCTTCCGGAAGAAGAAAAGACATTGGGTCTCCCAGAAGAAGAATTCTGAAGAATACTGTTCAGGTTTCTATGGATGGAAAAAAGATCAAGGAAGATATGGTAAAAATAAATTAAAACCTAGAAACCAAAAGTTCGGGGAGGAGATGAGCCAGTTAGGGTGCAATGTAGCAACGATGAAAAATACAACTTTCCTCTAGTTCCTAAATGCTTCCTCCCACAGAAGAGAGGGTGACGGACAACAGAAGAGAGGGTGAAGGGAGAAGTCGGACACGGCAAGATATGACAAAATAATAATTTATAAATTATCAAGGGTTCATGAGGGAGGGGGGAACAGGGAGGGAAGGGAAAAAATGAGGACCTGATGCCAGGAGCTTAAGTGGATAGCAAATGTTTTGAGAATGATGAGGGCAATGAATGTACAAATGTGCTTTACACAATTGATGTATGTATGGATTGTGATAAGAGTTGTATGAGCCCCTAATAAAATGATTAAAAAAAATTTTTTTAAGATAAAAATTCAGAGTAAGATTATACAATTAGACAACACTTTAAAAGAGCAAAGGAGTTAAATTGAGGCCAGGGGCAGCCAAATTAGTGACTTGAAGACAAATCTCTTGATTCCAATTTACAATCAACAAAGAGCAAAAATGTCTGAAGAAAGCCTAAGAATTTAGTGGGTTACTATCAAGAGAAGTAACATACCTCATTGGTATTCCAGAACAGGAAGAAACCAACACAGAAATCACAAAGAAAGCAATAAGATCTTCCATCTGAAGTTTAGGCAAAAACTGTGGAACGAGGCCTCTGCTTGCCTTTTTCCACCATATTGGAGCTATAGAGGCCTGCTGGGAACAGGACTTCTAAACGGCAAATACGTCTGGAAGGCTCTGCTCTCAGGCCACTTTTGCTGGCTGTAAACGGGGTCTCTGGAACCAGAGGGAGCAAGTGGCTCTTCTTAAAATTGAGGGTTTTTACAACCGAGATGAAACAAAATTCTGTTTAAACAAGAGATGTGCTTATGTGGACAAAGCAAAGAACAACACAAGAACTCCTGGTGGCAAACCTAACAAAACCAGAGTCACTAGGGGAAAGGTAAATCGTTCACATGGAAACAGTGGCATGGTTCAGACCAAATTCAAAAGCAACCTACCTGTTCAGGCCATTGGACACAGAACCCATGGGATGTTGTGTCCCTCAAGGATTTAAACTTTTTGAATAGCAAATAAATAACATTGTGAATTTGTTTTTGTTTTTGTTTTTTTAATGTGGAAAGAAGTAGATGCAGAAAGGTCAGCTGACCTTGACTGGGGACTTGATTGATGAGTTAAGTGTGTCTTTCTTCAGTTTCGATATGAGGAGGGGTTGGGAGTTGGATGGTACCTGGGTAGGTGAAGTCCCAAGCATCTTCTCTTCCTAGATTACCTGGATTTATAGAGTCAGTATAAACCTGAGGGCTGTGGTATAAAGAGAGGAGGCTATTATTCTGAGGTAGCCTGTTGTGACCATTGGCCCAGGGAGGGAGGACCGAGATGAGAACACCCTTGCATTAAACCATTAGGTCTATGATATCAGCAGGTATCACTCTTGTGACCTTGGTCAGATGCATGCATTATGTGAGAGTTCAAGGTCTGGAAGAGTTATCACTGTTGTGCATTTACATGAAATGATCCCCAGTATCCAGGGACTCTGACCACAGGTTCCTGATGAATGTTATGGAGATGTGTCTGAGCAGGTTAGTGTGTTGAGAGTGAAAAGAGCCTTAGGCACTTGACTTCAGCCCATTAACAATGGGAGCCATGCATTTGTTTTAGCAGAGAATGTTCTTAGTGGATGACAGGGAATCCTGCTGCAGCACAGCATGGAGTGTGAGCCAGGGAGAGCATGGCAGGTCCAAGATTCTGTAAAGAGGCTTCTTCCATAGATGAGACTGGAGTGCTAGAAATGCAGGCATGGAGGAACAGAGGTAAAGGAGGTTCAGATAATAAGGTCTGGGGTGTGGGGGCAGGACTTACATAGGACAAAGGTCAGGAGAGCTTAGAAATGTCCCAGGTGTATTTTAGGGACTGTTTCTGTGTCAACACCCTAAGCAGGCATGCCTGGGGCAGAAGCAGATGCAACCGATTCACAAGGTCAGAGGAGGTAGAGATCAGGATCTGGGTCTCAGGAGAGAAGAAGGGATCAAGACAGTGCTTTGAAAACCATTGACTTATGGATGAGAGGGAATATGTAAACTTAGGGAGTGTGTGTTTTGGGGGGACTCAGAAGTGTCTCACACACTGAAGCAAGCTGGCCAAGATGACATCATTTTGTTGACTGCTGACTGACCTACCTCTTTCTCCTTTTCTTCTCAGAAAGCCCCGCTGGGGATTGATTTCAAGATGTATTCATGTGTACCCGGAATTAGGTCATTATAATTAATCTTGTCATTCTTAATAGCATTCCTTTTTGATGTTGTATCAGGATGTTATCATTAATCTTACTATCCTTATTTTGTTACCCAGGATGTTATCGTCAATCCTGCTATTATGGTTTTTTGGTAACAGATGTATCCTGCTTCGATCAAAAGAATGTTAACATGAATTTTGCTTTCTGCTTTTGTCCTACACTTGTTTAGGTCCCTGTAAGCTCTGATAATTTCACGGCTTAATAATTGCTAAATAATTGCTTTTAGATTCTTGCTGTCTGGTAAACCGACTAAAGACTCTTCTAAACTTCAAGATCTAATAGTGGCTGCCATTAATTTGAACCTGCAACAACAACATCCCTGATATGGACTAAGCTGAAGCCAAAACCCAGGAGGGGTAGGAGCAAGGGGCTCCGTGCTGTCCCAGCCCTGCTTCAGCTGGGATGTAGCCCACCCCACCCCCCTCCTCTCGAACTCCTGGTGCCTGCCTGGACGAGTGACTCCTGGATTTCTGCCAATAACAGGACTCCTGGCACTGGGCCTGGCAGGCACCACGCCTTCAGCCTGGACTAAGGCACAAAAGTTATTTCTGAACCTTTTTCTACTTATTTGTATGCTTTGGGTCTGCAACTCTGCAGTGCCTTTTCTAAAATCTTCTACACACACACACACACACACACACACACACACACACACACACTTTCTCTCACCCCGAACAAAGGCCTCTGACCAACCTCCATTTTACCAGCCATAAAGCCAGGCTCCCCTCCCCCTCCTTGGCTTCCATTGTGTCTCTCTCTGATTCAAGGTCCCTGTCTGCTGGACGAAGCCACAGGCCTGAGCCAGGGAACCTTCCTGTTCCGGAGAGTCCAGGGCTCTCCCATGGGTCCCTAACCCTGATCGGGATGCCCTAGGGGTCACTGGACCGCTTTCTGACTGACAGGTGTGAACAGGGACCAGGGTATGCCCTTCTCTTCTGTCCATACCCCCTGAAGTTTGAGACACTATGGGGAGCCCCCAGTCTAAGCCCCCTAAAGACAGTCATTTGGGGTGCTTACTGGCCAACCTCACCAAGCTGGGCCTGGCTCTGGACATCTGCCCTAAATGCCTAGTCTTTTTCTGTAATCAAGTTTGGCCTCAATACCAATTGGACAATGAGTCGCACTAGCCAGAAAATGGCACCTTTCGATTTTAACATCTTCCACCACCTCGACAATTTTTGTCAGCAAACTCACAAGTGGTCTGAACTCCCTTCTGTCCAGGTTTTTTTCTTTCTTTGCTTCCATCCTTCTGTACTACCTCTCACCCTGCTCAAGTTCTCTTAGCCAAACACTCTCTTAATCAGGCTCCTGACAGTACTATTTCTCGCCTTGCTCTGAACCCCCTGACTCCTTGTCTGTGCTCCCAGTAAAGCCTCCTTCATATTCTGGGTGCCCCTCCCCATCATCTCCCTCTGCTACCTCCTCCACTACCTCCTCAACTCCCCAAAACTAAAGTGACTGCACCCCAACACCCGTCCCTTCCCAAGAGTCAGGCCCATCAGGCTCCCTAAAGTCTCTCTCTCTTCCCCCTTCCCAGATCCCTCCCTATCAACCTCCTCTAAATCAACACCCACAGCCTCTCAAACCCCACAGTCACCTGTTACCTTACTCAGGCTTACAACCTCACTCAACATGCTATTTAAACTAAAAAGCTGAAAGTGGCCCTCAAACCCCTATCCGTGACCTGGTAAACATGGCATTTAAAGTTTTTAACACCTGAAAGGTACAAGCAGAAACAGTGCCAGAATCCCAGGCTTGCCAGAAAGCTAATTAACAAATCCAAACCTTAATTGCTACCCTAAGGCCTGCAGGAGGGAAGGGTCAGAAGACTCCAGGAAGTATTGCCCACTGTGGAATCCCGCTTCAAATGCTGCCTACAACCCCTTGTCTGCCATGTGGTCAAACAGAACCACTGGAAAAGCGACTTCCCCTTGGCACCTAGCTGCGGAGAGTCAGTTCCTTCAGACTCAGACCCACCGTTGGCACTACTGAGTCTGACAACCGACGCCGACTGAAGACTCCCCTAACTCAGCAACCCATGTGACCCCCGATCATGCCCAAAGTAGCGATCGAGGCAGCAGGTAAGCCAGTTTCCTTTTTGGTGGATACAGGCGCTACCTTTTTATCCCTCGCCTCCTTCTCAGGCCCAACTTTCCCTTCCCTGGTCTCAGTTACCCTCCTAAAACAGTTCTAAGGCAAATTCAGCCCAACTCCTTTAACTTCTCTCTCCCTCCAAGGCACTCTTATCTCCTTCTGCTGTTATCTGTTTAAGCCTGTGCCCTACCCCCACCACTCAGGGTTTAGCTCTAAATAAATGCCATCATAAAAACATCCAACCACCAACTTCAACTAATGAAATACTTTGCTTTCTTGGCTTTGTAGATTTTTCAGGCATTAGATCCCCAATTTATCCCTTATAACTAAGCCATTAAACTCCCCGCAAGTAGTTGCAATAGCCTTTATATGATGCAACAAAAGTGACTCCCAGCAGACCTTTAACCCTTTACTAACACTTAGTTAATACAATTTTCACATTCAGTGATTGTTTACGTTTAGATGGAGACAGTAAGCTTCAGAAGGTCAAAGTAGGTTGCAAATAGTCAGGGGAAAAGTTGAGTAACTTATTATAGAATGTCTGGCGGTGCCAGGGTGTGAACAAAGCTTTAAAGTTTACAGAGAGCTGTTTTCAGAGAATTTGATGAGAAAGAAAAAGTACATGTGTTCATTGTAAGAGAAAGATCGCAGTGCAAGAAATGTGAAAAACATCAAGCTGACAGTTCCCCAGGAACACATAATTGCCCACAGCCTGACTAACTCAGGCCAGCCTCACCCCTCTCACACCCCCTGTCACTGCCCAATGTCCAGCCACAGCTAGTCTGTTACTTCACAAATCAGAATGAAAGTGGCTTTTCTCTGCATAGAGTTTGCAGATATAATATAACTCAATACCCACATTTTCTCCAACCCCAAAGAATCATTTTAATGCAATGAAACTGTAAATGTTGGTGCAAAGGAATTTTAACTGAATGTGTAAATTTTTCCACAGCAAGACTTCCTAACACATGTCCCTCCCTGCAGGGACAACTTACAAGTGTTGTTATAATGTTAATTGCTCCACACCACACCCCTGTCTCCCAATTGCCATAGTGCTGAACCTCACCAGGTATAGACAAACAGAGTTGGAATGGCTCACCAGGTATACACAAACAGAGTTCCAATGGCTATAAAATCTAAAAACTAGTTCTGTTTCCAGTGACTCCTCAGGGCTGTATTCTTACCTGTCCTGGTGGGCCTTAGTTTTGCCTCCTCCCTGGCAGCAGCATGGATTTCCAGCAAGGCCTTGGGGCACAGCAGGCTCCAAACACAGAACTTTAACAGACAACTCCAATCCAGCTGGTCATAGACTCCACCTGAGAGTCTCTCACCTCCTTACAGCAGCAGCTCACATCCCTGGCACAGGTAACCCTTCAGAACTGTTGTGCATTGGATCTGTTAACAGCTGGCAAGAGAGGTACATGCATGTTTCTAGGAAAAAGTGTTGCTACTATATTAATGAATCAGAAGTAGTTAAGCAAAATTTAAAAACCATGGCCAAATAAATCAAGAACCACCACTGGGGCAACGTAGCCACCACGCCCTGTTTCCAAAACCCTATCGTGTCCTGAGGCATGCCCCTAGGAAGACCCCTGGTAATGATTTGCTTGCTGTTACTTTTAGCCCCCTGTCTCTTTAAGTTCCTTCAAGAATGAATGAGAGACATATCCAATCTAGCTGTTAACCAACACTTGTTACATCATTACAGCCTCCTGCCTGCTGATGCTAGTCTGGACCATTCCAGGCCATAACCACCACCACTCCCCAATTTCCCAGTACCATCAGGAAGTAGCCAAATCAGATCTCGACGCCCTTTTTTATCACTAAAAGGCTGGAATGTATGCACTGAGATGAGGCAGGTTAGGGCCCCGCTCCCCTGTATGTCCCTGGAGGTCAGCAGCTGTCCCCCTGAAATGAGGAGACCAAAGAACAATTCCTGGAATGCCTAATTCCCTGAGAACCAGTCGGCCTGCCTGCCAGAGTTCATAAACCTTGCTGCTGCAGCATAGACCCCCCTCTCCCCGCTTTCCTTTAAAAACTCCAGACCCTGGGCAAAACCTGCGATTCCCCTGGGCTACTTGCTAGACCATGGGGCTTCTCCCGGGAGCTTCCCCCTAATAAAGCTATTTCTGTTTCTGCTCTCCCTTGGTCCTGTCAGTTATCTTTGTCCGTCTCCTTGTGCCTTGGTTTACCTCTCACTCGTTCTGTGCCTCAGTTTATCTCTATGCCCCCGATGATAAGGATTGATTGTTTCTCCTTGTGCATTGAACAGGCTGGACATTTCATGCTGCTCAGTGAAATAGACTTTTGACCTGACAGTGTGAGGACTTTTGCTGACCTGCTCCTTATAGAAACTGGTGGAACTTAAAACAAACAAACAAAAAAACACACTAGCATCAACTGAAGGAACAGAGACTTCAGTCAATACGTGAAGCAATCCAGTCTGTGTAAGAATATTTCCAAAAAGTCACTAAACCTATGCACTCCTACAGCCTTCTACAATAAAAGGGAAGGTGGGAGAAAATATGAACCCCCCCACCTCCCACAAAACACAAAACTCTGAAAAGGGAAGAATCTGATGTCCTGTGTCACTATAGTATTATCACCCAAATGTCCGATTTTAAAGGAAAAAGCAGAAGGTGTATGTGGGGACAGGAAAATGGACCCTTCAAATGAATGAAACCACATGACCAAAACCAACCTGGAGGAAGCCAGAACACTAAAGTCAGTCAAGTCTTTAAAATGAGTGTCTGACAAAAACACGGGAAAACAAAAACACGAAAGGAACGCTGGACCAAGAACTGGAGGGAAAGCATAGCGTAAAAACCATGGACGGAGTTAAAGTCGGATGATCGAAAAGGCACTCAACTGAAAAGAGAGACGACATGAGAAATAGAGGTAAAAACACACAAAATATATAGAAAACAAGCGGTACAACGGCAAGTGTAAATCTAACTGTATCAATCTGCATTTAATGTGAACTTATTAACCATTGTTTCCCAAAGTGGGTGATGCTGCCCCCTGGCGTTCACTGGAACACACTCCCAGAAGGCTGAAAGAGCAGGTACCTATGCTTGCTTTCTCCTGATCTATGTATGGGATGCAGGACAACAGTTTGTCATTGCAAGGGGGCACTGAGTAAGTTTCTTCTGAAAAAGGAAAGGAAGCCAAATAAGTTTGGGGAACCTTTGGGTTAAACAATCCAATCACAAAGCAAAGGTGGTTAAGCTGAAATAAATAATAGTAATCCAACTATTTATTACCTTTAGGACATACATTCAAAGACACAAATAGACTGACAGCAAAAGAGAATGATATCTCATGCCAACTTTACCTATAGAAAATCTGGGGTGGTTATAGGCACGTCAGACAAAATAGATTTCAAAAATAATACTAGCGATGTAGAGAGACATTTTATAATGATAAAATTCATCAGGAAGCAATAACAAGTATAAACTTATGTGACCAATAGCAGAGAAGCCAAAACTGACAAAATTAAACAATAGTATTGCAGGCTTCAATTGCCCGCTTCAATCACGAGAAGGGCCACAAGACTAAAGATCAACACTTGGATCAAGACTTGAACAAATGCTACAACCAGAAGCCGTTCCTGTGGGTAGCTAAGGAGCCCCTGGCACTGTGGGGTTGATCCGGCAGTAAATGTTTGTGTCAGGGGTTAGTAATTCCTGTAAAACAAACAAATAGGATGTGAGAGAGCAGCTTAAAGAAGATGATCTGAGCCCCTGTAACTTTATCTGAATGTCTTAGAGTTTCTCCCTGGTTTTGAGCTCCACCCAAGTTCTGGGCCGGGCCATGCTCAGGATGGACTCAGTCTCCCAGAGACCCTCCTATGGTCGCCAAACCTATTCCTGTATTCCCTCCTGTTTCCTGGATCTCAAAGCACACCCAGGTGTGAGGTGGGGTAGTCCTGAGTCTCCCTTGGACTTGTGGATCCAGAATATGCCTGGTCAACACTCACCTCATAGATGGGAACAGCTGCCGGGAGGGCCTGGCAAGGGAGAGATCGGACATCAGAGGATAGACAGGAAAGGGGCCATGAGGGCTCAAGCGAGCTGGTGCCAGAGCCCAAGTTGGGAAGGATTTTGTCCTTACAACCTAGAGCTCTTTTGGGTCATTTCTCATCTGGAGCAACCACCCTAACAGAACACCCCTCGCATTCATACTTCACCCCACTCCCTTGTTAACTGCTGCTCCTGGGTCACTCTGTGCTCCTCAATTGATTCCAAAGTCCTAGCCATTATGTAATATAGTGGTTATGTATTGAGCTGTTATCCACAAAGCCAGCAGTTCAAAGCCACCAGCCATTCCTTGGGAGTCAGGTGAGACTTTCTACTCATGTAAAGAGTTATAGTCTCAGAAACCCACAGGGACCGTTCAACCCTGCCTTGTAGGGTCTCTATGAGTCGCTATGAGAATGAAATCGATGGCATTGAATTATTGTTTGTTTGACCCACTATGGACACAGAATGAGCTCAGGACAGGGCTGGAATGCTCCCTGAACCTGAAGAGGAGCCCAACTCCTACCCAGCAGGGTGTTAACCCATTCCTGACTACTGTGAGAAGAGCACTGGTCTATGCTGTGTTGTGCTGTGAGCTTGGCTAGTCTCCTGCTCTGTTAGGACTCCCTAGTTCAGAGGTCTGGAGGGGATAGGCTTACCGGTGAGGCAGAGCCCTTGGAGTGACCTTGGCCTGGAAAGCAGAGATAAGAGTTATCATCTAAAATCTTGAAGAGCGTTTGGGCCCCTTCTCCAAGAAACCCAGGGGACAGAGAGCATCTCCAGCGGATTGACCTTTAGACATGTGGGGACCAGGGGAGGAAGTGGACTGAGGAGATGCCCCTGACCCCAGGTGCTACAGGTCAGGGTTGACATGGCCACTCTGGGGTCTTCTATCCTTCCCTGAAGCTCCAGGAAAGGGCCAGAGACCCCTGGGGGCGAGAGTTAGGAATGGACAGTGTGGGGAAGCTTCAAGGATCCCATATAAGTGTGTACTCACTGAAGGTGGTTGATGGGGGTTGCTGATGTCCAAGGTCACCATGGCTGCAGGTCCTAGGGAAGGTTAGGTTATTTATGAGGGTGCTCATAGAGGTCACAGAGTCTTGGGCCAGAACAAAGGACAAGGGAGGGACCCCATTTTCTGGAGGAGCATGGAGACTTCCTCTCTCCATCACTGTGGTGCTGGGATTGGATGGCCTAGCTGGGGAGAGACCTTAAGAAGTCACACCTGTCCTGGACACAAAAGAAAAAGGCCTTGAGGCAGGTGCCAGCTCAGGACAAGGTTGACCTCAAATGAACCCAGATCCAGGGACGGGTTAGAACCACGAGAGAAAGGAATAGCAGAATCCTGGTCCTCAATGAGCCCGCTGGGCGAGCGTGGTGTCAAGACACCTGGGGAAACTCAGAGCCCCTAGATTCTCACTAAATGTGGCAAGCTTCCTAATAGAGACCCTCTCTCTGTTCAGGCCAGATGTTAGAAGGGGCTCGCAGCCTTGTTGACCTGGGTCCTTGTCTCCTATGTGAGGGTTGCCGCTAAGGCGTCCATGGTCTCTGGGGCGGGGGCGGCGCTAACCCCACCAGGCTTGGTACAGGTCTTTCTACATTCTTCTGTATGACCTTGGCCAGGACACCCCCTCAGATCCTGAGTCTATAAACCCTCCAATCCAGAAGGGGCAGTTCCCCAAGCACTTACTACCTCCCAGGCATCACTGTGGGTCTGCTGTGTGAATGCACTGGGGTCAAGGCCATAAATTGTCCTGTCTAGATGAAGAGGCTGTGAGACCCCAGCTGGAGATCTGCACCTGGTGGGAGAGGAGCCTGGATAGAGGGAGAAGGGAAGGTCTCTGGGGGCGTTGGGAGCAATGGAGAGATAATCCCAGCCTCAGAGGATAGACCTTCCTCTGCCTGAGGCAGTGGGTGGGGAGGTGTGGGTAGGAGGCAGGGGATCAAGGTGGTGGTTATGTGTTCATACCCTCCAGTCCTGTTGAGGAACAGGAAACACCCCAGAGCAGCCACCACAGCCACCCCAACCAGGACCCCGGTCACAATGCCGGCAATGGCCCCAGCAGAAAGGCCCGGGGCTTGTCCCTGTGCTGAAACGAGAGAGGAAAGGGGATGAAGGTTTAGTGGTATTTGAAGGAGACCACAAGGGGCCTTGCAGGCGAAAGATCTTGTTGAAGCAGAGGAAATGCCACCCAAGGTTGGTGTGTGTTGTCACCACAGTGTCCCCCAGGCACTCTCTCTGCCTTGGTTGCTACACTTTCTGTTTCCTGGGCGTGAAGGCTTGAACTCGCTCTAACTCTGTCCCTCCTCCACGTTCAGCCAGCCCCACATCCTGTCCACGTTCCTTCTCAGGCTCCTTTCTCTCTCGTACGATACCTGTTCTCCCCCGATTCTCCATATCCATTACGAGTGACCGTCTTTGAGCGCTGGTCCTCATCAGTACCACTCAGCCCTGATCAGTTACAATATGAGCGACGGTCCTCAGAGCCTTCGGCACGCCAACCAAACATGGGAAATGCTTCTCACCTGATTCTTCTGTGTCCCATGAGGGAGGAGGTGTCCTCCCCACGGAACGTCACAGAGCTGCTGAGTGAAGAACAAGTGCTTAACCTAGATCTGCTTGGCTTTACAGCTGGTACCCACAGAAACACTAAGAAAAACTGCTGCTAACATTGATGGGCCTCTGCCTCTGTGTGTGGCCCTGGGTGAAAGGCTTCTCACCTCACTGATCTCATCACACACACCCTAAGATCCAGGTGAGGAACCCGAGGCTCAAGAAGATTGACTGTCTAACCGCTGGTCAGTGCCGGCAGCGGGAGAGTAACTAGATTAGGTAGTCTGGTGGCTGGGCTCTTTGCAGGCTGTGAAGGGTGTCCGCCCACCCTGGTGTCACATCACACCCACTTACATCCATTTTACGGCGGAGACAAAGTCAGTGCCTTGGTGGACGCAGCGGACTCTACGGGGAAAGAGGTGGGGAGGGTGGGACAGAGGTCACTCACTGCTCACACGCAATGTGACTGGGTCACTTCTGCAGACACTGACGAGGTTGGAGGCTGCACATTGATAGGACCCTGCATTCTCTCCCCAGACATCCCTGATGATGAGAAGCCGCTTGTTCTGGGACCACGTCATCCTCTCAGAGGGCCGCAGACTCTGGTCGTTGAACAACCAGTGAATGGCGACGCCCGCGTCACTCTCATGGCAGGTAAAGGTCACCGACTCATGCTCTCTGACCGTGGTGCTGTTGGCCGTGACGTGGGGCTTGGCCACTGCTCCTGCAGAGAAACCGAGAAGGGGAATCCGTGATAGAGAGCCTGGTCCCGGATGAGAGCTGTCCTTGGAATCCCAACTGCTGGGTTCAGGAGGGAAGGTTCGTCAGAGGGTGATTGACAGTGAAGGGGGGCGGGGGCAGTACTGCCTAAACTTGGAGACAGTCGGATGCCTTAACTGACCTTCTCTGAGGTCTCCCTGGGCTGTGCCACCACCATCTCCCTCCCAAGTATCCATATCTGGTCACCTCTTGGCCCATGGTTTTCTCTCTTCCCAACACATGTGTAGACACTGACCACATTCGTTCTATGTCTGATGAGCCTCTGTCTCTAAAACTCCAGAGTCCCTCGGGTCATTAGGATGGCTGGCTGGAGAGAACCTGCTTCCAGGCAGGGAAGTGCTTCCTGATATTTTGCTAAAGGATGTACGGGGTGGTGGCTGCATGTGAGACATCAGGCTGCCGTGCAACCAACCCACCACTCCACAGGAGAATGACGAAGTGAGCTGTCTACTTCCATAGACATAGAAAATCTAACTCCCGAGGGAGTGACTTGATGGAAGAATTATAACAGCTAGGCCCCCCATGGACCAAGTGGGTGTCAGATGCCTGTACTCTCTCTGAGGTGTGGCACCCCAGGATTCCTTCCTCCTCCACCGGGGTCTTGCATCCATGCTCTGTGGTGTGGGCTGCGGTCAGCTCACAAACATCCTCCCAGCTGCCAGACTGCGGTCTCCCCACATCATAGGGGTGGAACTGCTCCCTGCTGCTGGGCACAATGGACAGGCTCCTGTAGGCGGAGTTTACACCCTACTGATAATGGTTCCTATGGAGACCCAGGGAACAGGTCAAAGTTAAGCTGCCATCCGAAATCTAGGATCCGCTCATCTTGTCACATGTATACCCCCAATCCCTCCTCTTCCTATTGTGTGTACATCCCTAGACCACCCATCTTATTGCTGTATAACCTATAGTGCAACCCCTTCCTGTGACTTATGTCTTTACCTGTAATTAGTGGGCTTGCACCCCCCTCAAAGGTATCTAGGCCCGGGTCAGCAATAGAGCACTCTCTCTTGCTGGGCTCTCACTGGTCCTGCTCACTTCTCTTCCCTCTCTCCTCTCCCCTCCTCTCTCCCCTGTTCCCTTTCCCCTCCTCCTTCCCTTCCCCCTCTCTCCACGTGGACCACCAAGCTGGGTTGAGGTGAGCACTGCTACCATGTAATGTGTCTGACTGCATTATTGTAATATCTCTCCTCTACCTCTCATGCTCTCGATGACTTTGATGTATATATATACATCTCAACTGTACAATTGTGCATTACTGAACCCATGGGTAATAGCAGTGGGGGGCAGGCCCCTCCACAACCTTATACTACACTGTGGGAACACTGTACCCACCCACTGATGTAACTCTCCCATCATCCTCTTTCCCTCACTTAGGTACCTGGCTGCCATCAGTGGGCCCTGGCTCCTTCCTGGCCAGGAGGAAGGGCAGGTCCTTTGCTGCCTGTTGTTTCACGCTGCCTGGTTCCTCCCCATCTGTCCTCTCTCCTGTAGAGGGAGAAGAGGGTCCAGTCCAGTGTTTGAGCCTCGGCTGTTCACGTGTAGCATGTGGGCCACTTGAGCAAACAGGATGAGCGTGAGTTCAGGGGCAGAAAGTTAGATCATGTGAAGATTCAGCCTCAACCCCACTGAAGTATTTAGAGCTGAGAACATCACTGTGACCCAGCAAGAAAATGAAACTCATTTCCACGGGGCTCCCCTGCGCCCTGTTGGTAAGGGTCTGCCTGAGACCCACTGGCTTTTTCCTCAAGGTCATGTGCAGATGGAAGGCCTGAGACAGACCTGCCCTCCTCTAGTTAGTTCCAAAGTGTTCCCAGTTGGCAGGTGGGGAGTGGGGATGGGATCAAACCATCCTTGTTTCCAGCAACAAACCCCCCACAGTCTGTAGCTGGAGAAGGAAATTGAGTACTGTGTCCACTGTCTTTCCCTGAACTTAAACCCCAGTCCTGGGATGGGATGGAGAAAGGGACAGGGACACATCTGAGGCTGACCAGGGTCTGAATTCTCCAAGTGTGAAGGAGAATGACCTGAACTTGACCCAGCAAGGCCCCAGAGGGGGAGTCACTTACGGTACACATGAAACTGTCCAGACACGAGCTCACGCTGTAAGTGTTCGTTTAGGACTTGTAAGGTGTAGGTTCCTGTGTCCTTTAGGGTGACGTTCCGGAACAGCAGCGTTCCATTGGGGTATATTGTCTCTCGACCACTGTGGGCCACCCCTGGGGTAATGGTTTGACTCCGTGCTCTGTATGCGAGGATTTGGTGGCTGATCTGCACCTTTCCCCCTTTGTACCAGCTGTAGCCATACGGATTCTTTGGCGGATTATGGACAAGCAGCAGGACAGCCCTCCCTTCGGCGACATTGACTGGCACGGATTCCATAGTGAGTTGGGCGAAGAGGGGTGTGTTCCAGAAGGTGAAAAGTGAGACTAGGAGAGGAGACAGAGAAATCCGTTGGTGTTTGGCTATACCGGCATGAAAAAGAAAGCCCTTGAGATGAAGCAGGGTTATTTCAGCCCTTGGATATGTGCAGGGTGAGTTCTCTTCTCAGTTCAAGGTCAGCATCATAGAACATGGTCACTGAGACTGTTCCCTGTATGAGCCGGCTGCACCCCCATTCCCCTAGATCAATGAAGTTGCTTCCTACCTTTCTCCTGTGTTCTCCCTCTGCTCCAGCTACCCTGGCCTCTACCTTTCCACAAGCACGTGAGGTAGCATAGCCGCCCCAGGGCCTTTGCACCTGCTGCTTCCTTGCTTCTTCCCCCTGCCTCCACCTGCCTCGTCCCGTCACTGCATTCAGGTCTCTACCTCGTGTCCCCTCCCTGCAGAAGACTCTCCTTCACTCCTAATCAAAGCAGCGTCTCATCTCTCTTCCCTCTCTCACCTCCCTCTGCTCTTTTATTATTATTATTTTAAAAATACTTTTATTGGGGGCTCTCACATCTCTTATCACAATGCATCCATTCCTCCAGGGTGTCAAGCACATTTGCACATGTGTTGCCATCATCATTCTCAAAGCAGGCTCTGCCCCCTTGAGCCCCTGATGTCAGCTCTCCATTTCTTCCCCCTCCTTCCCCCGCCCGCCTTCCCTCACGAACCCATGGTAAGTACCTGCCACCACATGATTTGCTTAGCGGGTTACTTTTCTCCCCCTATAATGTGCAGTGTGAATAGGGCAGGGGCTTGTCCCATTCGCAGTTGAATCCAGGCTTCTAGAGCAGGCCTGGCCGCTGTTGGACTTTGGTTATTTGATTGAGCCAAGGAATAGAAGGCAGTCTGAGGCCACCATCCCACCCAATGCCTGTTTCCTTTGTCCCTCCACAGACTGGACTGTATTTCCCCTGAATCTAAATGGGATGTCTGAGGTCGGTGCGTCAGGTCAATGTTTCAAGCCCCTGATTATGTCGATTTGAAAACAAACAAACAAACAAATGAACTTACTGCCCATCAAGTCCATTCTGACGATGACCCGATAGGACAGGGTAGAACTACCACTGTGGGTTTTTAAGATTGTTTAACCCTTTACAGGAGTAGAAAGCCTCCTCTTTCCCCAGTGGTTTCGAACTGCTAACCTCGCAGTTAGCAGCCCAATGTGTAACTACTGTACCACCCACCAGGCCTCCTCCTATGCTGTTGGCGTGTTGATTTTTTGGCGGGGAGGGGGTGTGCATTTAATTTTACACACAGGGCAGCTCCTGTTCTCGGTTCTCACCTCTTCGTAACAGAGGAGGGTTAAGTTGTTGAAGGACCCAAACAAAACAAAGCTGTCACCTTAGAGCCAGCCCTCAGAGCGTGAGTGAAACTATTCTCTCAGGATCCATGAGGTCTCCTTGTGGCCCAGGCCCCACTGCTGGGTCCTCTCCCAAGCTCCGAAGGTGGACTCTCTATCCCTTCCCCACCCCACCCCCTGGAAAACCTTGCCCGTCTCAGCTCTAAGGGATCATTCCTTCTTACCTGTGACCAGGGGCCCCCACCAGAAGATGGTCCCTTTGGGAGGAGGACCTGGGGGGCTCTTCATGGGTTATTCAGATCCACAGGCACCAGAAGCTCTGCACAGATCAAGCAGCAGACAACGGGGCAGCACAGCAGCACCTCCGCCCTGCTAGGGAGCCAGCACCAATCCGCCCCTAACTCATCGGGCTCCCTCTGTTACTTGGGATAGGGTGGGGACTCGGCCCTGAAGCCAGTCTCCTTCATTCCTCCCCCTTCTCCCCACACCTTCCCTGCCACGCCTTCTGCCTGAGCTGCATTTCCTGGCAAATGCTGAGACTTCTGCTTTCCTGTCTTGACAACTTTCTCCCACGCCCCCTCCCCCACTTCCATGGGTGGAGCGCATCAAGCCCTTGGGGCCTCTGGTCACAGGGCATCTCACTTGGCAGTGGCCCAGAACCCCTTGTGGGGCTTTGGTTGTAAACAGGTGGGATCGACCACACCGCTATATTAATCATTAAAGCCTTTATTTAACAACTGGACTGAGAAACCTCTTAATCCAGAACAATGAAATTCCAAACTTTTTACAGTTCCAAAGCAGGGAACTGGCTCAAGATGAGGGATATTCTACCCATTATATTCTTATCACATTGGCAGGGTAACGGGGTTGGGGGGAACAGCACTGTGTTAGTTACATCATCTGGGGTCAATTTGAGGATTAAGAGTGTATGGGGTAGAGTCTAGCCTGTCAATCAGAATACAGTGAACCCTCGTTTATCGCGGTTCTAGACCCTACCGTGATAAATTAAATTCCGCGAAGTAGGATTCCTTATTTGTAAATCAAATATTTTCGTAGTTAGAGCATAGAGGACATGAAAAAACACC